AAAGCTGTTGTTCAGTTTTGTTGTTTCATTCAGAAACAGGGCCTTGTCTCTTCTTCCCAGGCCTCCTTTGACAATTTAGGAAGTGGAGAGCTGTTCTGTGTCTGAGGCCAGCGGGAAATTTACAGGCTTAGGGTTGAACCTACAGTCTTGCAGGAACTGCTGCTCTTTGCTCTGCTTCTTTTTTTTATTTATGAAGTTTGTAGGACCATAACTAAATGCAACTTTTCTGAAAGGAATGTTTTCATAGATTCCTATAGTCAACTTTTTATAGTTCATTAAAAAAAAAATTGCCACTGTTAACACACGTGTTTAGGTTTGACTTCCTGCATCACCTAAAGATTAAATTTGCAATGCTGACATGTTTTAAAGGGCAGGAAATGCAGATAAGGTTCAGATAGTGTCATTAATTCATCTGCTTGACTGCTGTTTTGCTTTTCAGATGAAAAACATATGCTAATGCCATCTCTTGCAGAATTAGACATATATCAACATACAGCCTTTTCAATGTAAGCATGTTGTACTCATACAAAATTTAGGCTTTTGTGTCACATTTCCTCAGTTGTAGATCTGGAAGGTTATCAAAACAAGCTCATCTCTTTTCTTTGTCATTTGTAAAGTGCACCTAGGTGGGTATCAAAAACTGTATGGAAGATACAATGAAATACAAGATAGGAGTAGGTTGTTTTGAAGGTGTGGAAGTAGAGTGAGTGATAGCTGAGCATTTACTTGTGGTTCTAATGAAATGTGTTGATAGTGTATTGTAAAGCCTTCTGTAGAGCTTAAGTTCTTACTTTAAAACATTGACATGATTAAAGCCTTTAATCTTAAAAAATTGAAATCCCAATTGCTGTATATTTCAGTATTGCAGCATGTCCTTCGATGATTGTGAAAGTTGTCCTGGCCTACGGCAGGGGGTTGGATGAGATGATCTTTAAAGATCTCCCAACCCAAACCATTCTATGATTCTATGATCAATTCTAGTTTTGGCATAAAGGCTTTCTGTTTTGTATGCAGGAGGAAATTACTAGTATTATATATTTTAGTCTTTCTGGCTACTGTCATATCCGTAGACAAAGTATCTTTCTGAAACAGTAACTTTATTGATTCACACACTTGTGCTTTAATATGCTACCTATACAAAACCAAATTCATGTGGAAACAGCAATTGTGTAAGACTTCAGAGGCTGTTCTGTAGTACAAGAAAGCCCAGCATTGACTACCCATGCTTCGTATCAGGCTTTGAGATTGTGGTGGTTCCTTCAAGATAAATTCAGCATTTTCAGGAAGTGGGGAGGGGTCGAGAGCTGTTACGGACAAATGACTGTGAGCAATTATCTCTTGATAGGAATGCAGTTTGTCAAAATGTAGGTTCTGTATTTAAAATATGATGTGATGGTATTGGCTATTTATGTTGTGTTATGCTTTTATTTTTTTAATGCCAAAGACTTAAACTGGTTTGCATCTAGATAGAATCTCAGACCTTAATCCTCCAGGAGGTGAGGGGGGCAGGACTTAAGTCTTACTTGTTTTGGAAGAGTATTAGTAATGGAAGGTTATCTTTAAGAGTGGGGTTTGGGAGAAGGACTTTGGTTTGGTTTGGTTTGGATGAGTGAGCATTGCCCATTAAAGTTCACATATATCAGACTTTTATGGAAGAACTCATCTATATGAAGGAATTTTCTGTTTTTTTCATGTGTAAGCCATAACCTGCTGGATTTTATTCTCAAGTCTTTTTACTAGGAATTGTCTGCCTAAAAGGATTGCTTACATGATTTTTTCATTACAGTTACACTGATGCTGTAAATAATTTCTTGAAGAGGAACATGTTCACGTAGAAGTATTAATGATACAGAGCTACCAATAGCTTCTTTATATAGGAAAGCTTTGAATTGGTTCACAAACTCTGGAAGAGGTAGCTATTCTTGCTGTCAGCTTAGTCAACTTTGAGGTGAAGGATACTACTTTCTCACCTCCAAGACATTTCAAGGATCAGTGAATTTGAGATGAAGAAGTGGAAAGTTCCAAGTGTCTTATCTGTATTTATTCTAGTGTCTTATCAAAATGTGAGACCTGATGGCTTTGAGACGCAAGCTGTGGCTCATCCTGCTGCAGTAGTTTGACAGTAGCATTCCTCTGTTCCACCTTCTTGGTAGTGGAGTCATCAGAATAATTTGGCAAAAAGGACTAAGTGCTTGTTACCTGCATAGGTAAATAACCATACTAAATTGCCTGTTGCTGTGTTTCTGCACATGTGGAATGCATTTCCATATTACTTCTGACTTGTGCTAAGCGCAGTGCTCTGATAAGCCATGGATGAGTAACACCACTTGAAGCATATCACCTCTGTTTCAGTCCTTTAATGGCTCTGTGATGCTTCAGCAACGGCCCTTTCTATTCTTGCTCATCATCAATTGCTTAAGACTGACTGGTAGTGCAGCTGACAGACATCTACAGCTTGTCAAGGCGGATGTACTGCACCGTGAAGCTAAGCCAGAATGATACCTTTCAAGATAGCTACAAAATTCTCTCAAGTAATGTTTTTCTGTTGAAGCAAGATCAGTTGTGAAAAGCATAATGAAATAGGTATGAGAGAGTGAGAAAATTGCTGCAGACACACTAGTCTGAACCACTTTAAGTATTTCTCTGCAGGCTGCCTCTTAGGAGAGCATGTTAAGGAATTCACTAGGTACAGTAGCATCCAGAGCTAGTTAGGAGAAAATTACTGCAACTTTACAGTGTGTGTGGGTTTAGTTGCTGGAGGTTTTTTTTGTTTTGTTTTGGTTTTTTTTAAATATAAATAATAAAATGTGTGACACAAGCTGCATATTTTAGTATTGGTCCCTACAGTTTTTGGCTGTAACCATCAGCTCATAAGAAGAGGCTTTTCCTACCAGTGCTGCTTCATAAAATTAAAATTATTTCTGGTGTTGTGGGTTGTGGTGTTTTTTTTTCTTCCTTCATCATACTTGTGCCTCTAATAACTTTTTCTTTTGCTTCTTTTGCTGCTACTTATTTAAAAACTGTTAACAGGCCAGTTTACAATGGTTTTAAGCTTATAGAAAATGTTCTACAACTCTTTTTACAGCTTAATATGGTCAGACTGTTATTATTGTACTCTCTATGTCTTAGGAAATGGTCTAATCCCCCCCAAATTTTTTTGGGGAGGTGCCTTTTCTCTGACCCTGCTACTTGGATGTGAGGATAAGAAAATGGAGGAGAAAGAGAAAGTAGAGAGAAATTCTATTTCTATTGACTAGCACAAGAGTTCATCCCAGAAACTGCTCCCTTGAAACAACTTGATATTAAAACAGGGCATATTGCAGCTTTCAGAGAAGAGAGCAGATTCTGAAACCAGGTTCTGTCCTGTAACTTTCTCCTTGCTTCCTGAGAAGAAAAAAAATTCCGATTTTGTGTGGTGTTTTCTGAACTGTTCCTGACAAATTGCTTCAGATAAGTGCCACAGTGTTGTAACCCAGATCACGGGAGTAGTATTCAAATTATATAATAAAAGAGATTTTAGTTTGGTTTGATTTCTTGTGTCCATGGCTTGTTAGTAGATAGCTTGGTGGTTTTTCTGCGTAATCTGTAAAGCAGTCAGTCCAGTTTTAACTTCTGTAGTCTGATTTGCAGTCTGGCAGTTAGCATGGAAAAATAAATCAGAGTGATCAGATTTGATCAACTGGTATCACAGGCATTTCAGTGAGGTGTTGGTGTGGGGTCAGGTGTGGGTCTTTCTCCTCACCCCTATTTGTTAAAATACTTCAAAATGTGTCCTAGGAAATAATATGTTGCAAATGTTTGTGTACACAGTATATGTGAGAGTATTAGAACTAGGTTGTAATACGCAGTAGCCATTATCAGATTTCCCAAATAATTGAAACTGGTGTAACATATCAGAGATGTTAGAAGAATGTCCAGGCTAGTTTTGGATTGACACTTGATTAATAGCAATCATGTCTAGGGGAAGGGTCTGTTGAAGAATTAATTATTTAAGATTGCTTATGAAGTTAGGGGTGAAAGTATTTCTAATTTTATCTTTTTCGCTGTTCTTATAGACAGGAGATACCTCTGTGTATGAACTTCAAGAACTGACCAAGTTGACTAGCTAAGCCCATGTTCATGGGTGAGGGTGAATAATCTTTTTAATAAAAGCTGGGTTTATCCCATCATATGTTTAGTGGTTAGGCTACCAGGTTGTTTTTTTCCTGACTTCCTGGTCATATTTTTCTGTTATCAAAAAGAAGCTGACTTGCTAATGTAAAAATAGGCTATGTAGAAACAAAACAAACCCTCTTTTAATTGGCAGGAAATGAGGTTAAAATGAACATCATCTGTGTCTGCAGAAGGTTGAGGTGTGCAGTGTCTCTTTGCATATCATTCTTGAAGTAGGGATTTTTGAAAGCATTGGAATGGGGAAGCTTTTGGATAGTTATCATGTGTGTTCTTAAGTCTTTTAGTTGACATCAGAGTCATTGAGGCAGTACCTTAGGTTTGAATGCTGATGGCTTCTGTTCTCCAAGCCAGTAGCAGTGAAGAAATGGAGGCTGAACACAAAATTGTTAGAGACAAGCTAGGAGGAACTTGCTTTCATGTTCCCTGGCAGGCATTCTCACCCCTTGTTGTTTTTCACAGTTAAGGAATTTCACAGTAGCTTTTTAATAGTCCAGTCTGATTTAATTACTTTGGAAATATCAAATACTATATTGTATTTACAAATAGATGACACTTCCCTATAATCTTAAATATATAGCAGTAAAATTAAGAAATGCCATTTCTTCAATGGAAAGTAAGAATTTTGGTGTCTTGTTGTTATGAAGCACCTTGTAGCTCTTACTGCTACCAAGTAACACAAAGATAGAGGGTTTAAGTGTAAAATTTTCAGAAATTTTGCAGTGTACAAAGTGGGTTTTACACTGTATTTTACAAAACAGAAGTGATTACCTAAAATTCCTAATTCACAAGGGTAAAAAAATGATGCCTGTTTCTTTCTTCTCTGTCAGGTTTGTAAATACTACCTTTGTGGCTTTTGCCCAGCTGAATTATTTACAAATACCCGTTCTGACTTAGGTAAGTCTGTAAGTCTTTTATTCACTTATGTGTAATTACCATTGAACTTTTGTTTGCAAACTACATTTTTATTGTTTAGTTCTCTGTCAAGACACTTTGAAAATAGGCTTTTTTATTTTTAAAGGATTGCTGGTGATATAGTGTGTAAAGAGCAATATTTATTCCAGATTCTACTTCCTCTAAGTGAAAAACATTTTTTTTATTTTTTTTTTTTTCTTACAGTGTAAGCTAAATGTGTGGGTGTGGGGTGGTTTTCTTCTCCTGAAGTGCTGGCTTCTAGTTTGGTTTATTCTACCTGGGCAGGGTTTTAACTTATTTTTGTGTGAGTATACGTTCTTGAGCTCCGTTATGTTAGAGGCTCATCTACTTGTAATAGTTACTACTGAAGGCCATCTCTAGATTATTAGTAGCTTTCAAGTGATGTTATGCGGACAACATGCAGTTTGGAGACGGTAACTAGGAAAAACAGGCTTCTTGTCTTGGCATTAATTTCCAGGTCCATTGAAGAGTTTGATAGGCTGGGGAAGGTGGGGAATTTTAACATGACTACCTTCATGAACTCAGGCCACATACCTCCTAATTTTACTCTGAAGGTCAACGTTTTAAGTAGCCAGTTGTTTATTACAAAGAATACTCTCTGGAGCTTAGCAAGTGCTTGGTTAAATTACCTGTCATATGTAAATTTTTTTTTTTTTTTTTTTTTAAGGCCCCAGGTGTTTAAGGTATTATTCTGTTTGTGTAGTTTTACCAGTGTAGATCTGGAAATTCAACTTTATATGAAGACTTCGTATGTCATTCAGAATCTCCTTTAGTTTTATAATTACTAAGCCATATTGGCGTTCTTTTTCTTTAATGTGTCTTTCAAACTCCAAGCAAAAGAAGCAGAAAGACAGGCATAAAAGTCCCTGGGAAGTGTTTATAGCTCTGTTCTATCATGGTGTACAGATAAATGCTGATGGAGTGTGAATACAGCATTCGAGAATGCAAGCTTAAACTTTTTGTGTGGTCTTTTTAGGTCCTTGTGAAAAAATTCATGATGAAAATCTACGTAAACAGTAAGTATATTGGTTGATATGTTAATGCAAATAGTGTTTCTAGTATGCTTGAAATTTCTTAAAAGCCACCCAGCCATGAGAAATTAACTGCTTTTTGATGTCTGTAAACATTCATTTGATTGTATAATATTCTCTTACCTTGAGCAAGAATTTATAACGTTGCAGGTTTTATTTTCTATTTTTCATATATTATGGAGTGTCATGAGCTTTAATTTTTAAAATATTTTACCAGGTACGAAAAGAGCTCTCGTTTTATGAAAGTGGGCTATGAAAGAGACTTCCTGCGTTATTTACAAAGCTTACTTGCAGAGGTAGAACGCAGGATTCGAAGAGGCCATGCTCGTTTGGCGCTGTCACAGAATCAACAGTCTTCTGGGGTGAGTCTGGAAGAATCACTGAAGCAATTTTTCCTCTAGGGTAGTGTCTTTGTGTTCTCTCTACCTTGTCTCTTTGGGTAAAATAGATAGTTTTCCAGAAGATTCCCGTTAGATAAGTCTCTTCGTCTGTTAGCCAGCAGATTGCATCTAGCCCTAATGAACAAACCAAGTGGCTCCACAGTCAGCAAGAGTCCCTCTCAGTTCTCTCTGTCCCTGTTTCAGTATCTGTTCTCCACCCTGGAACATTAATCCTGTCTAGTGTTGTCTTTACTCAAGCTCAGTTTACCTTCTTCCCCTTAGTTGCATATTCCTCCTTCCCTCCACTAGTAAGCTATATCATGGTGTTATTGCAGAAGTAGGCAAGTACTGAGTCTTTCAGCAGCTGATGGAGCTAAATCCTGCTGTCAGCCACCACTTAGGCAGTCGCCTCTTTCTGCTCTAGCACCACCGTTGGCAAGTAATGATGGAATCACGGAAGTTTGAGAAAGAAATACTTCTGTGCAACTTTTCTCAGTTCCAAGCTGCATGCTAGACAGCTGTTAATGAAAAGCTTAAACTGAGAGAAAAATTTTACATGTTTACTCCACTTGTTTTTTGTTGTCCTCTGATTGATTTGGAGCAGTGACTGTGGCCTGTGCTCCGAGAGTTTCCTGGCTGCTAGGGTAGCCTTGCTCCTTTTTGCTGCCCCAGTTAATTGTTGTGTGCAAAGTCCAGTTGTTTCAGAAGGAGCTGTGGACAGTATCTTCAGTCAGGAGCGTTAATTTGCTGTGGAACAGAGCAAAGGTTGCGGGGGAAGCCTGGCAGCCTACAGAGAAGGTGCAAGTACATTTTGGGTGAAGTGAGATTGGTTTTGCGTTTATGCTCGGAAGCTAAATTTCAGAGCCCATGGAACTTTTAAGTCATACTTAAGTGTCTGCAAAGATATGTAATAGCTGCATGGCAGTTTCAGAGTTTAAATTTAGCACTTCAAATTCAGATGTCTTACCTTTTATGGGCCAGGGCCTTGAACATTTTTGTTGATTTAGGAGGAATTAGTGTGACTAGAACTTGCTTCGCTCAGCAAGAGTGGAGTAAGCTGTGTTGAGGAGTGGTTTATGTTAGACTAGACTGTTGTTAGTAGGTTTTCATGGGAGAAGAGGCAGGAGTTACTCCTGAAGTGTCTCTGGAATATGAGAAGACATACATTCCTGTGTTTTAAAGTTACTTTAACTGAAACAAAACAAAGAAAACCAAAAAACCACTTGTACTGTTTGGCAGGGAGCGGGACCTACTGGTAAAAATGAAGAGAAGATTCAGGTGTTAACTGACAAAATTGATGTACTTCTACAACAGGTGAGATTTTTTTACCCTCTGTAAGAGAGAACTCCTGCTTTTGTTACTTGATTAAAGGTTACAGTTGAACTTTTTTATTGTCCTTTAGATTGAAGAACTAGGTTCAGAAGGGAAGGTGGAAGAGGCACAAGGAATGATGAAACTTGTTGAACAGTTAAAGGAAGAGAGAGAACTGCTGAGGTCTACAACTTCAGTAAGTAACGTGTTTGTAGTTCTGTCAGACTTATTTCAAAATTTGGTGCAACAGTGCGTGCTTAATAACCTTGTCCTTACGCTGAAGGTATGCAAGTTCCGTGCAGAATTTATTAGACAACAACACGATGTTTAAATGTGTTAATCCAGTGTGTTGATTTACCATGCTACCTTGAGAGTGGGTTTCATACACACAAATTATGAAGTTATTTACACAGCAGTCCTGGAGGTGAGCTTGCATCTTACTGTAGTTCAGGGGTCAGTTACACTTTGCCGTGCAGCCTCCACAGCATAATTTCACTGAATTACCAATCTGACAGTGTTACAGAAAGCCCTTGTCTTAGGGCTGTGACTAGAAACGGGCATCTGTCTGACTTTGAGAGCTATAGGAGCCAAAGGTAATGTGTTAAGTAGCAAGTTCCTGTCAACAAAAAGGAGCTTCTGTTTAAACATTATATTTCAGTGTTTAATAATATGATCAAATTATGATTCCTGTTTTATTTTTTAGAAGTTCTTAAATGTTGTAGGCAATAGTGTTTGTGTCTGTGCTACATGATTCATGAATGTTGCACAGCAATAATTGCTTGGGTTTATGTTGAAATTCTAGTGTGTTTCTCATATGTCTGTTGAAACAGTGAATTAATTTCGCCACCATCCATTTAAATGGAAGCCCAGTGTTCCTTTTTGTATTCCCTCATAGGATATTCTAGCCTTTTCATTCCTTGAGACATATCGTATTCTGCAGTACCAGATATGCCAAAGAAATCATCTTAGGAGAAAAATTATTTTTATTTTCCTTAATCTTGAGATTGCAAGGAAGCTATATAGATATTAATCCTTTGTAGTGAGGAATAAGGCTTGTTCTGTGTGTTTTCTAATTGACTCTTTCCTAATGGCTTATGTGGAATGGCTGTATGTAGCCTATTTTTGCCCTGCTCATCCTAGTAGGTGCAGTGCTCTGCAGACGAAGCAGGCAGTTATGATTTTCAGCTTTCACTAGTGCCTAGGTTTTGACAACAGTAACGATAAAGTTCTAAGCCTCTTCACTGACTTCTGTCTAAAACTTTTCTTTTGCTTATGGAATGTTTTTGTTTTGCAGACAATTGAGAGCTTTGCAGCCCAAGAAAAGCAGATGGAAGTTTGTGAAGTTTGTGGAGCCTTTTTAATTGTAGGAGATGCACAGTCCAGGGTAGATGACCACTTGATGGGAAAGCAGCACATGGGTTATGCCAAAATAAAAGCTACTGTAGAAGATTTAAAAGTAAGCATCTCTTCAGTTATTGAACGTGCAGATTGCTTGGAGGTTTCCTGTGGTAAACAAAAGGCTGTCCAGTGGACTTTCTCAAGTGGGTGAAGTACTCCAGAGATGGTATATAAAAACTAAATGGAATGCTGCTGCACATTTAGCATTGTGCTTGCACTGACGTTCTTTGTTGTACATGATTACGCTAGGTATAAAAAAAGATAGAAATTCAGGTGGTAATTTTTTGTGGCCTTTCTGAAGAACTGTAGTATGGCCTCTGTTCTTGCAAGAATGACAAGCAAAAAAGTTCTGCAAGACAAAGGATTTCCATTTCGAGGATTTTTAGAAAGTGCTATGTAGGCCATCCTTTGTTTGGAAAAAAACCCTGAAATACTTTAAAAGCTTAAGCTTGTATATCCTCAGAGTGTATGAACTAAGTTATGTTGAATTACTTATCTTGATTAGTCTCCATTTCTTCCTGCAAACTTTTTTTGAAGGAAAAGTTACGAAAAAGAACAGAAGAACCTGACCGTGATGACAGGTTAAAAAAAGAAAAACAAGAAAGAGAAGAGAGAGAGAAAGAGAGGGAACGGGAAAGAGAAGAGCGGGAAAGGAAGAGACGACGCGAAGAGGAAGAAAAGGAGAAAGAGAGGGCTCGTGATAGAGAGAGACGTAAAAGAAGTCGTTCACGGAGTAGACATTCAAGCAGAACATCTGACAGAAGATGCAGTCGTTCACGAGACCACAAAAGATCAAGAAGCAGAGAAAGAAGGCGAAGCAGGTACGTGCACGTGCATGTGCAAGTATTTTCATGTAACTTTCCCAAATGTAAAAATTTTGTGGGGACTTGAGCCTGGTTCACATGACTGATTTGTTAGCTTCACTGTTCTCACCTCTAAGTGAAGACATACCTCACCGGTTCTAGGATAAGCAAGTTTTGCTGCGTGTTCTCTGTCTTCTGTTTTTGGAAGTAGATGCCACCATTGTGGTGCAAGCGGTCTTCGGAGGGAGCTTTGAGTAGACAAATGTTTCCAAAGAACAGGCTCGTCTTTTTTCTTAAGTTGGTCTTTAATTCATAGTAGTGGATATTTTTTAAGCTGCGTGGTTGAATGTTTCAGTAAGTGCAATGTGAAGCCAGATCTTATGTGTTGAGAAATATTTATATGCAGTATGCTAGGGCTTGTTTTCTGCAAATAATCAATGTATTGGAAAGTGCTATTGTTTTACTATTTTATCTTCTGAGTTAGAAAATACCAGCTGACATGTACATTTTTGAAATTTTCTCTGAATGTTAAGGAGTCGTGACCGAAGAAGAAGCAGAAGTCACGATAGATCAGAAAGAAAACATAGGTCTCGCAGTAGGGACAGGAGACGATCAAAAAGCCGGGATCGGAAGTCCTACAAGCACAGAAGCAAAAGCAGAGAAAGAGAACAAGACAGGAAGTCAAAAGAAAAAGGTATGTTTTTGTGAAGACTGAGTTCATATCAAGTTCTGAAACTAATCTTCCCCTAAAGTCTCAAAAGCTCTTAGTCTGTCAGTGAGTGACTGAAAGTTCTTCTTAGCATCAAATTAGATCTGGTTTTATAAGCTGTGTATGTTGCTGTTAACCAATTTGAAGCATTTTGTTTGTTCCAGTTATTGTTAATGCACGTGTGTGCATACGTATACCCCAGTGTCCACCTCTTATCTATTATAGTAGTTATTAAAAGCTTACCACTTTGTCTTCAAATTCAGTGTGTGAGGATTTTGATGTATTTTAAGACCTGTTTACTTTTAGAAAAACATAAGCCTGTAATCAGATTTTCATAAGAGTGAGTATCTTCTATTCCTACTGTTAGCAGATATTTCTGTAATTACCCTTTGCTGGTACATGTGTGGGAGATGGTAGCTGGTTTTTCACCTGTACCATCTATTACTTTTCTACACTATCATGTTTCCTTTAGTTTCTTTTAACAGTGCTTTTAAGTTTGTTTTTTTTTTTTCTTTCTAGTCTATGAATGCAGTCCAAGATAAATCTTGCAGAATTTCTGTAATGCTCTAAACTACAAATTCATGCCCTCTCCCCAGTCTCCTGCTCCTCCCTCCATCCTTCCCCCTCGTTGGTTTTGGGTTTGGTTTTGGTTTTAAATGAAGTGAGATTTGCTTTGTCAGTATTCAGGTGAGTCTCAAAGGAATGCTGTATTAGTCCTTGGAGCGCTTTTATAGCAGTACATGCCATGTACAACAGCATTGATGGTGACTCACTGCTTCATCAAAGGCTGGTGTTCAGAAGCTTTACCTTTAGGTAGGATTAAAAAGAGCTACAGAGAGAATACTACAGGTTTGCATTCTGTGAAAAGATACTAATTCCCTGTTATTGCTAAATTTCCCCTTTTAAAAGTCTTTTGAAACTTCTGGAAGAATGTAATAACAACTTCTGGCTTAAACTACTGATTCTGTTGGGGTGCTGACTAATATCCAGTCTGAAACAGCCACCCCACTTCATTATTAGAGCTGACAGTCAGTAATGGATGAAACAATTCTGTTCTTTTTCTAAGGTACTTTTGAGGTTCTCTGGAACGAAAGGTGCTATGTGCATGTATCTGGATTGCACAGGCCTGTTTGCCCTACCCTTGCTTTTCCATATTTATCCAGCAGATTAGTTCCCAAAATGTTGGTAATGCTTCGTGTATTTTTCTTGCCTGACTTCCTTGGACCATTTTAATTTTTCTGGTTTTATACTATGGTGCTGCTTTAGTATTGATTCTTCTCTCCTTTTGCTTTGCCCTTTATAAGCAAGTGGGTTTTAGCTGCTTACTCATTGGCAGTGGAACTGATGCGTAGTGTTTAAACTCTCATTCAGTATTGTAGCCTGTATCTGTCCCTTCTGTTACTTTATTCCTACCTGATACTGTGCCTTTTTTGCCTACTTTATGAACATACTTCTGGTACTTAGTCAAGAATGTGCTATTCAGTATTCTGTGTGTATCTGTGTATATAAATAACTGTGTTCTTATTTACTCAAATTTGGTCTGGTTTTGAGCTTATTGGCTTTTCAGTTCTTTTCTTAATGCTTCCATAAATAGAGGAGCTAGTGAACTTTCTTCAGCATCTCAATATTTTTAGTTTTAACTTGACTGATTTCCTTGCTGGCCGTTTTATTTGCTGCTTGCTACTTTCTTCCTCCAGAAATGAGAACAGTGAGGTGATGCTATGAGCTGTGATGAAAATTCCACCTGGAAAATCAATTACTTTTTTGACTATGTAATCATAACATTAATAGAAACACAAATAGGCTTTAGAGCAGGACTGTAATGCTGCTGAAGAAGTTTGTGTTCCCTTTGTTGGGAAAATCTTTAATAAAAAAAAAAGAATGGAAAAAAGGAAAAAAACCCAACCAATAATTTAACAAGCAAGCACTGAATTTCTATGATGAAGCTGCAAACACCATTACATCTTCATGTTTACAATGCGGCGTTGTAGGTAATTAGGCAGATAGCTTTAGAGGCTCATAGATCTGAAGTGTGTGGCTGGCTACCTGCTCTGCTGTTTGCACAGACTTATTCCCAGTGGAGCAGTAAATGTAATACTGGCTTCAGAATATAATTGTCTTTATATCCACCATTGATCTGCAATTATAGAAGTAAGCAGCAAAGGCCTGGCTGTAACTACTCATGGTAGTGCCTTTCATCTTGAAATCTCAAACTGCTTTATAACCATGAATCTTAATGGGCAAAAAAAGCAAGGCACAGTTGCCCAAGACTTGCCTACTGTTAACACATAAAATTAGTGCCATACTTTGAAAATTCAGAAGTCCTGGCTTCTTGTTCACTAAAATACTGTGGAATACAGCGACCTTTAAGATTGTGAGGAAAAAATTACATGTAAAAATGGAGACGCTTAATTTCTGACTCAAGTTTCAGAAACAGGGATACATTTGCTAAAGGAGGGAGCCTGCCAGCCCATAAACACCAGCTGAGCGGTAGCTTAATAAAAACCAGCAGATTGCAACTACTGTTCAAGTAAACGAACTTCAGAGTAGGTAGAATAAATAGGGGTTTTTTTAAGAAAAGGAAAACATCTCTTCTGCAAGTACCTTCATTGTATGAGGGGTTAATACTAGAACGTACCTCCAGAGCACTTCAACATGGCTCTTTAGCTTCCTTAATCTGGATTCATATCCTTATATAAAAATAATTATATTTGTGATTGTGTTTTTGTGTTAGTTTAAACCTCAGCAAATACTGTCAGAACACCCAAACCCTCAGTAATGCTGGATATTATGTTTGACTGATTCTTGCATTCTTTGAACAGTAAAACCGTTCACATTACCTTGGTAAGAATTCTCACAAAATGCATCTCAGTTGCCCACACAAACTCAATCAGAAAAGTGTGCATGTGTTGAATCAGGAAGCAAAATCAGTATTATGTGATTATGCCAGTAGATCACAGCTGGACTAATATACAGTTTCAACAGCAATCTAATTGTATGTGCTTTTAAAGAAAGACATCTTACTGATTGAAAATACAGTGGAGGAACTTAACTGCTTGCAGATACTCCAGGAGTTGAAAGAAGTTCAGTTATTGGACAATTTGTTGAATACACTTCCTCAGTTCTGCTTGGCAAACTGGAGGTTTGCTATGGTAAAACTATTTTATTATTAGAGTTTTTAGAAGAGTTTCATCTTTCATACCAGAGTTTAATAGTAGTTTTTTAACCTTAAACAAAATTATCCTTCCTGACCAAATTCAAGAAACAAACAAGACAGAACAAAACCCTGCACACTGCACATCCATAGGGCTATTAAGATCTACCATATCTACATAGGACAGAAGATAAGATTATTGGACTGACTACTAGTCCTCTGCGGGGAAACAAGACTACTATTCCTCAGTGGATCTACGTGTGCATCGGAGATACCTATAAGACACAAAAAGAAGACTTTTTAACAAGGTTAGTTAGAGTGCAATCTACCTGCGGAGTTGCAAAACCGAGGGCAGACAGATACAAAATGATTAGTTCTTCAGTTAGCTTTTTGACATCGTTGCGTGCTTTCTCCAAGCACCGTGCACTGGATGTGCTGCTTCAGATGAAACCTCAGTAGCAGTGTTCATTAGGCAGTTGCCCTCATTTCTGTGTGGGGGCTTTACCCCTCTCTTTGGTGGTCTATTTTAAAACAAAGAAGTTGGGATGTTGCTTCTGTTGTAAAGCTTAATTTCTACTTTGTCTTCTGGAATATAAAAGTGTGTTATGCCAGTCTAGGTGATAACATTATTTAAAATAGCTTTTTCAGAGTGTTCGATCTGTGTGCTCCTGTGCTGGGGATATATATATATATTTATATTTTAATTGCCCGGATAGCAGGGAATAATCAGAAAAAAAGAGCATGAATGTTGTTCTGTATGATGACATCCGAGAGGTTGGTTTTTCAGATTTTTTTTTTTTTTTTTTTCTCTCCAAAGTGTCTTTACTGATCAAAGGTTGACTATTATGGTATGAAATAGTACAGAAATAATTCGATATTTTTATTAAATTTGCAAATACTGAATTTATGGATGAGGCACGCAGCTCTAATATTGAATGTTTTTCTTCCCATGGAAATACTTTTATTTCTGGCTTCCTTCCTTCTTTGAAGATTACTGAGGAAAAGATGAGTTTTTCAGCAGTGTAGCAAACTCTTTTGTCAGCTTTCCAATTCGTGATGGAATTGTGGGGTCCTTCCCATCTTGCTCTTCCTGTGCCTTTGGAAAATAGTGCTTTTTTTATATCTTCCAAGCTATCTGCCTTTTTAATGAGTGGATTAGAAAATGACTGCTCTCTTTATAAAATTGAGAATTAATAATGCTGACAAGCATGCAGCTTCTGTGACATAACTGTACAATGAAGTTAATTTTGATTGTCACTGTGATCCTCAACTTCAAAGCTAGCAGTTTGTTTCCCAGAGTATTCGATTGTTTGGGGTTGCTAGTTTTGGTTTTTTTAATTGGCAAGTATTGATTTATTTGATGATGCACTGTCCCATCACTGTTTTCTGGTTCTTGAAATGAGAATTGTAAACCAAAGAAGGCCATACACGTAATATGTTAAAACTTGGGGACAAAAGGAGTCCCACGATAAGTAAGGAAGCCACACATCATGATTACGCATTTGCCTAACTTCTTGACTGCCTCTTTACCCCCAATTTGTGTATTTCAACAGACACCTGAGTAGCTGCCTCTGTTAGGAGGTCTGTCCTTTCTCCTCTTTTTCCCACCCTGTACTATCCCCTTTGGCCTTTTTTTGTACCCTCTCCATTCCAGCATGGTAGTCTGAAGCCTATTTCTGTAACTTTTTGATTATTACTGTTATTGCTATAGAAAGTAATTGTCCCATTTTGTATGCAATATATATCTCACATGTGCAATGTTTGTTTTTACTTTGAAATCCATGGTCAATGTCTTCTTTCATGGCAGAAAAGAGGGGATCTGATGATAAAAAAAGTAGTATGAAGTCCAGTAGTCGAGAAAAACAGAGTGAAGACACAAATACAGACTCGAAGGAGAGTGATACTAAGAATGAGGTCAATGGGACCAGTGAAGACATTAAATCTGAAGGTGACACTCAGTCCAATTAAAACTGATCTGATATGACCTCAGATCAGGCAGAGGTAAGTGCATTATTTCAAACTTTGATTAGGGCTTTTTGTTACTGTTTAACAGTGCAGCGTAAGTATGCACAGATGAAGATGGAACTAAGCCAAGTAAGAAGACATACTAAAGCACCTTCTGAAGGAAAAGACAGTGTAGTCCTGCAAAACATTTTGAGGTACATTGTTTTGTCTCAGCTCTTTTGTAGCAGACTCGTGCCCCCATTAGTGTGCCTCTTTGGGACATATTTGTAATATAGCCACCATAGAAAAATTAATTATCCTTTTTTATTTTTAGGGATTTTGTTATCGTTTTTTAAAAAAAAAGTTGAACTGTTTTTGTATTTAAGTCCATATTGTGTTGGTACATCAGCAGAAACTTTTGCTTTAATACTTAATATTTGAGGCACATGTTGGACTACTTTGTTTTCATATAAACTGCTAGTATTTCTTTGTCAAGGATGTTTCTAGTTTTTTTGCTTTATTGCCTTGCATTCTAATGCAGTTTGTTCTGTAACTCGAGAGCCAGTAGCATTGGATTGATGGAAGTGTAGGGTTTATGAATTATTGCAGCTGACTACCATACCTCACACAGCGTTGGTGTTGTGAGCGGCCCATGAAAAGCCAAATTAAAAATCAAGGATTCAGTCAAACTAAGCAGGTACTCATGCCAGGTACTCCTTTCTCTACCCACATCCATGTTTGAATGCTGTTGCCTGTAATCTTTAAGCTTACTGTTGTGTTTTTGATTTTCAAGATAGTGAAAAGGACTTTTTGTGTATTGTGTGAATACTGTAAATCTGATGTTAACAGAATGGAATTTTCTTTCAACTGTATGTAGGGATGCAGTGCTGCCCAGAATTAGATATCTTTAAAGAGTTTAAAATGCAATAAACACTACATAATAATCGCCTTGTTACTTTCAATGCAATTCAAGTCTTTAAGAGGTATGTGTTTAATATTTCCTACTGTGTAGGAGAATTGGCAGTCAGCCATAGTACAGAGAAGTGGAATGGCTGATAACAGACTTCTAAGGCAAATGTAAATGCAAAGACAGATGCCACCGAATGATTACAATGTTCATGGCAATAATGTATGCTGAAAAACTGTTGGAAATGAAACAGCTAAACAATAGGAAATACAAATGCTGTTATTTAAAGGAAAACTTTCTTTTCCCCACTCTTGACATAGCTTTCTTACTCTTGCAGAAGGTCTTTAGTTGTATTCCTGAAATAAGGAACTAACAATGGAGAGTACAGCTGATAAATGAGCTTCTTGCAACATAAATCGTTACTGTAGTTTCAATATTTATGCTAGGAACTCTTAAACACTTAATGTTGATTATTAAACCATTAATGCTACGTTATTGCTTCTAAAGCCAGTCATGTTCAATGTTGATATTTTTGTAGAGTTAAGATGACAGCTAACAACTGGGCCAATATATAGGAATGGTAAACTTAATGCTCCTAATGCTGTCTAATTGTCTGTTTTCCCAAAATTTTGCATTATAGGACTACTACATGAAGAGTCTGCGAAGACAGCGGAAGACAGCTTAAACTGAAGATCTGCTTTAAAATGAGGTGAAAGAAAGCTGTAGTGGCGTAGAAAAATATAAAGTTGAGTTAGAATTTTTTTTTTTATAAAATTTAATTCAGGACTGGTGTTTCCTCCCAGAGTTCAGAAAGATGTGTTGATAATAGCACATATGCTACTGAGAATATAAGTCCTGTATCTTTTTTTCTTTAAGACTTTTTAAGATAAGAAACCAACATAACCTGAACACATGGCTTGCTCAGTGTTTAATTGCAAGTTTTCATTCTTGGACTTTAAAACACAAGAATAAATGTTTAGTATTTGTGTGAATCGAACTAAAACGAATCCCATTTTTACAACTAAGCTATTCCTAGCTTCTTGATATACGAGAAATGGAAATAAAGTATCTTTGAATTTCTGTTACAAATTTGATTGTCTCTGTCATTGAACGTTTACTATTAAGTAAGTTTCTTTCCTAATAAATCTACTCATGTCTTCAAGCTTAGTCCATTAATTTGGATGCTTAGTTATTCTGTGGTGTTTGTGGGTTTGGTTTCTTTTGGTGCCATATTAGTATTTCATTTCAAGCTTACTTTTCCAGTAGTTAGAGAGCTGTTGCATTCTGCATCCCCTAAAAAGCGCGGCTCATGCTGTAGTTGGTTAAGAAACTACAGAAATCTCACAAGAAAAATGTAGGCCTTAAGCCTCTGTAAAGCAGTTCAACTTTTACAGCGTTATCATAAAGGTGCTGCTGCTGAGATTGGCCATCATACTGCCCTTATGTTTGCATTGTAGTATCAGCTTGGAATAGTGATGAACAACTGTATGCAGTTGGTAAGCACATACAGTCTGTGTGTTACAGCAGATAGAAGGGAAAGGAGACATCCCTTATGCTTCCCTGTGAAGCTGTGGTGCAAGCAAGCATAGTTCTCGTTGGAAAAGAACTGCACTGTGTGCTAGTCAGCAGCAGAGACAGTGCAGTCTAGTTCAGTGCTGTGTCTGCAGGGCATTGAATTCGCGTTATCCTTCATATTAGTATTCAGGACTTGACCATACACGTCACTGAAGTCATACACGGACAAAGCACTATTGTAACTCACTGCTTCTGATTTTGGTGTGCCTTGTAGCGTCCGTCTGTGGAACTGCACTCAGAGAAGGATCTGTGTGTTGGCCCCTTTGGTGAAACGAGTGCTGGTTTTTTTGATATGGAGGGATACCATGTGCAGCCACATTCCCTTTTTGACTTTTATTGTTCTAACTCAGGCACCCATGCAGGGGCGAGGAGAGTGAGGCTGGGCGGTGGGTGGCTTTAGAAAAACTTAACAAGAGAAATAAGTGTAAGTGGGAGAAAGTAAAATTACAACTAAGTTCTAATTACAGACATTGCATGAACACCTATTCCTTTTGAAACCTGTGTAAGCAACATGATTCAGCTACTGCCTGGATGTGTTGCTTCTTTCAGTGGCTAAAATGTTTGCCTTGCACCTTCCATTGCACACATTTGTTATAGGACTGGCATTTTCCCTTCCTTATTTTGCACAGATATACATGATAAAATGAGGTCACTTGGTAGTAAATTGGACTGGGATTCAGATTCTGACATGTTTGATAGTGGAGTCTTTCTCTACTGCATTGAAGGAAAAATTCTGTCTTTCAGAGCACAGAAATGGGGTGCCTTTCTAATTACCTTCAGATGTGACTGTAAGGAGTGTCTCCACTACAGATTCATCTGTGTGAAAAGCATCATCTTCAGAGCTGCAGCCCAAGATTTTCTAGGAATGCTAAGCAAAAAGCAGGTAGCTAGCTTAAGCAGGCACTTCCTACATGCTTTCTCAGTAGTTTTGGCAGCCTGACAGTCCTATATTAGGTGTTAGAAGTGCATCGGCCCAAGATTTTTCAAAGTTGTGTTAGAATTTCAAGAGCGTCCTGTCCACTCCATAGTGCCACATGTCATTCCCCCCACCCCCTGAAAAAGGAAGAGATCTAGGAACTTCAAACAACTGATACTTTAATATAAGTGAAGAGTAGCAATGTTGGTTCAGTACAAGTTTGTAGTGCAAACAAAAGTTGTCCTTGGAAGAACAGTAAGTTTTGTAAACTTAGTTTCAGTTGTCATACTAACGGTTTATTGTTCAAAGGAAAAAAAAAAACAAACCAACAAAAACCAGTTAACATAACTAGTGTGCCTTAGAGTTTATCAAACTGCATAAAACATACAAAAATATTTCTCTGAATGCATAGACTTACTGTTATTATTACAGTCAGATCATGATTAAAGTTTTAGTCTTATCACATTAACAGTTATTCTTTGTGGAAACTAGAGCAAATAAAGCTTTTTAAAACCAGCTGCTCCTATAGCTGAATGGTCAGTAGTTAGTGGAGGCAGTCTTTACACTGATTTCCTAAACAAAGGACCTGAAAAGAAATTAGGTACTCTTAATTTTGAGCCATTTAACTACTCCTGTTTTTCAAACAGTTATTGCACATAATCTGAACTAGCCTCCAAGCTATGCTGAAAAGATAAATACGCAATTGTTAAAATAAAAACTCCTTTCCCATCCTACAATAAAAACAAAGCCGGAGCCACAGTTAGGAAATTTTGCTTCATGCTGTGTCACAGTCTTGAGCTTACCAGGAGTTGAATCAGGCTTTAAAGTAGCCCAGCTCCTGGAGAGAGAAGGGCGAGGATTGAGAGCAGGGCATTAGCAGAGTTTAAGTGATAAGATGGATATAGACCAAGTGGGAAAGGATGAATGGTTTTGAATGCACTAAGGGAGAATTTTAAGCCTGGAGTAACTTGGTAAAATCCTGAACTCTTGAGTCAAGCATCTCTTCTGTGGCAGAAGGGGTTTCTATGTTCTTCTGACATGCATGCGTTTACTAACCTCACTTGGAGGAGCCACTTCCAGGATAAAGCAGCTGTGCTGCAGGAAGCAAGGACAGGAGGCAGCCATGCTGCTCCTACCAGAACACGTTGATTGTACTATTTATGGTCTGAATGGCAACATTACAATCCAGATCAACAACAACAAACGCTGCATCAGCTGTGCATAAACTCTGCTCTAGTGCAGCGTCATAAAGCAGAGATGGAATGGAAATCAGTACTATGGGGGGGGGAGGGGGGGCAAGCAGCTCATGTCCAGAAAAAAAACCCAACTCCCTCACCCCTCCACCCACCCCTGTACCCAATTAAGGTTTTTGGTGCAAAGGTCATCATCGTTGTTTTTGGTACAAAAGAAAACAAAAAGCCTCCCAAGGTACAACTTTGCAGACTACCACGTTAACAGGAAAAGCTGCTGGCTGTTAATGTTCCAGCAACGCTGCGACTTAAATACTTTGTTTGGACTTAAAGGTGTGTTTTAATGATGACTTTTGCCTTTCATAACACCCCAGGTGGATGTTTTCATTAATGACTTGCTTAAATGCAAGTTAAGCAGTCTGTAGCTTAACCAGAATTAGGGTGGGGAGGGGTCCCCAAAAAAAGTTCAGCTGAAAGCACCTGGAGGCATTCAACCCTTTTAGTACTCATCTGGCTAAGACTTTGGACGCTGTAAAAGTGACAGTAGACTGTGCCACGTGTAGAGGTACCGGTTAGTTATTTGCTAGCAGTGTATGTTTCCAGTTTAGTGCGGCTGATCACAACCGTGGTGTGCTCCTTACAGTTGCGATACCTCAGGAATATACTGTTGTGCTTCTCCTCCCACAGCAGAGACCAACCCCACACCTTGTAACTGCTCTGAGAGGGTGGGCCGTAAGGAAGTTACCTGATCTAACAGTCCTGACTTCCAGTGGGAGTAATGCATCGACCCCTTGCATCGTTAGGAAAATTATTAATAAATAAAAGCATGGGCACAGATTTGTGATCCCCTCCTGAGCTCCTGAAAGAGAAGGGCACATTAACCTGCTTTGTGACTTAAATGCTCCTTAATTAAGAGAGGCTTCCATATTTCTTTTTGTGGAGGCAGAGGGACGCCATCACTTAAGTTAGTTACAATATATTCATATAGGAAAGAAACAAACATTTAAATATCGACACTGTTACTCCACTCATCCCAGTGAAATTCTTCAGAGCCTTAAATATCTCCGTCCCCAGCAGGCAAGACAATGCATCTTGCTAAGTGTTTGTGAAGGGGTGAGAGATGAAGGACTTGCAAGTCCTACATTTTTAGAGAGCAACTGTTCATTGTATGCCAAATACCCTCTGACATTTAACTCAATCAGGAAGTTTAAAAAAAAATACATACATATAAATGCACAGACACACCATTTCCTGAATCTCTTTTCCATGATTCTTACTTGGTCAAAGAGTGGGAGCACTCGACATACTTTTCATCTTGATAATTAAGTCTTTCCTGCCCTCTGTTGCCAAATACAACCAACAGATTTAATTGACATACATTGGAAGCATGTGATTTTAGTAGACAAATGAGGTATCCCTTATCTGAATACAGTATCAAGTAAAAAAAATGAAAGCAAAGGGGTTATTAAATATAAAAGATAAACTATTAGTTAAAATAGTAACCCTAACAATAACTTAAGGTTTTTACACACGCTTAAGTCACTGCCTTCAAAAGGCAGCAGCGTGTAATTACCAGGTTTTCATACTCCAGGTGCACCCAGCAGAGTCAGTACGTCAGCTTTGATGCTCTGCTGTTGTAGCATGGTCTCTCAGTCAAAGTCGATGCAGTGTTTCGGAAAGGAGAGCTGTCGGCTTTCACAAGAACTAACTCCAGCTCCTGGAAGTCCTGAAGCCTGGCAACATCCTTGTCCTTTGAAAGAACAGATAGAACTGCGCATTACTTCTAAACATACCTGGTCTTACTTTGTAAATGTTTATAAGAATAGCTAAAGGAAGTAAAAAATAAAATTCCAGGGAGGTGACACCCAGCGATAGGAATAAATAACGACAGAAAAAAATCCTACCAGTATACACTTTCGTTCAAAGCATGTTTGGGTTTTTTTCTCTCCTTGAACCATACAATTTTTTTCTCCTTGAACCTCACTATGATTTGACTGTGTCTGTGCATGTCACCTAACTAAGAGTTGTGACCAAATGCATTTAATTTACAGCCCTCCAGAATAGGTATTTTTGGAACAGAAGAGCATGTTCCATTTGTTAATGGCGTATCTTTAAATTATTCACATGCCAATTTGCGGGTTTTTTTCCCCTTACTATTTGTTCTTTTTAGGCAAGCAAACAATGCAGTAATACACGGCAATTACATTAAAAGCACACTAATGCACTGTTTCTGGTAAATGCAAAAAAAAAAAAAAGTCAAGCTGTAATAGTTTCATGTGCTTTAGGAGCTGAAATACTCTGCCTATTTTGACAAGAATATTTTAAGTACATTGTGATGAAGAGTTAAGAAAAGCCCAATACCCTTCGGAATGTGAGCTTAAGTCAGTTTTTGTTTTTTAACACAAGACCATCCATGTTTTGCCGATCTTTTTACAGAAATACCTCTCTGATGGCTGCAAAGTGCAAAGTCAAATTAATCTCCGATTTCAATTCTTACCTTTCTTACTAGTGTATTAGGTAATTTTCTGATCTTCTCTACTTGTTCTGGATTAACGCCCAGTTCACAGCAACTCACTCGGAGCAGATCTTGGTAGGTCAGTTCTTGTCTGTCCAGTTCAATTTCAATGAAGTCATTGTCTCTCAGGTTCTGGACTCTCACCTTAAGCACAAGTTCTGATTGCAAAAAGGATTAAAAGGTTTTTTCCCCTCAAAAAAAAAAACCAAACCAAAAACCCAACCCAAACCTAACACTGAAGCAGCTAACGCATTTACCATTATCTTTTGAATTCCGGCTTTATAATACAATACCTATTGCCTCACTGGGAAATACTGTGCCGTTAATGGGAGCTTCCATTTGAACAGAGGAGAACCAGCGTTAACAATCCGATCCATCCAGTCCCCAAGTCAAGTCGCTACCAAACTACCAGAGATACATTTGATACTGTATAATATATTGCAAAATTTGAATTGTTAAGTTGCTCGGACTGATCTTTCCATCGGTTTGCAGAGTATTGCCATGTTTAAAACACAGCGTAACAGTTACTTTACTTAGCAGAGCAGAAAAAAAGTTCTGGGTACTTTTGGCCAAAGAATTCAACATCTCTGCCCCTACTCCAGATGAGTGCAAGAGGAATGGCTCTTTCACTTCATCCTTCACCCAGTAACAAAACCACGGAACAGAATGTAATAGAGGGAGATGACACCTCATTACCTTGCATGCTATATGGGAAAGTTCCGGTAAAGAAAAAGGGCTGAAAGGCTGGTGCGGGACCAGTTGGTGAACTGTCAGTTTGCAGAGGTGCAGCCTGTGTGGATGCTACCGGAGAGAAGAGGCCTCGGCTGCGAGGCGGGGACGGCCGGCAAGCGGGGCCGTTGGGTACCTCGGGCTCGGTGTGTTCTGCTGCTGTGATGGCTGCTGATGGGGTGGGCAGCTGTTCCGCAGTGTCTAGTGCAGGAAAATCATCTTCGCTGTTGCACGACGTAGGTGTGCATATGCTTTCAACCTGAGTTGCTGATGAACAAGGACTAGTTTCACACTGGGAAGCAGAAGAGGTGGAAGCACTTTCATTCTGGGACTCGGCCAAGCCGTCTGGAATGCCTTCTTCAGTGTAAACGTAAGGGAATGGTGGGTTGGCCAAGTAGTTTGCAACAATTGGCAAATTTAAATCCTTCACTCCTTGACATTCAGTTTCTTCCTCTATTAATGAAGTTCAAAAATGGGGGTTAGGGAATGGAGAGAGAAAAAACCCCACCATGTTATTGCATAGATCTTTTCTCATTCTGAACATAGTTTTCCTGTTGTGTCTTAAAACTACATCCCCTTCTGAGGTAATCAAAGGATGATACTGATGTACCATAAGCATGTAACACCTGGAAGGCACAGAGCTGTAAAAGATGAAAGCCAACTCTATACATTTCTACCATGTATTGTGTTTTTTAAAGGCAAAGTGGGAAAAAAATAACCACTAAACGATGGGGCATTTCTAGCAGCATTACTCCACCATTTTCAAAGAAACGGGCTGACCAGTAGTCCCTCGCTAACTCACTTTGCAATGCTTTTCATAAGACTGCTGTAAATAGTTTATTGTAACCCATGCCAATAAATTAAACCAAGCACTTCTTCGGGTACATGAATATTTGCTATAATACCCAAATGAACTCTTCTCTTGCTCAAAAGTACTGCAGTAAATGACATTCTTGCCTGACTGAGGATTACAGGACATTAATACTAATGCCAAAGCAGTTCAGAAAGATCTGGTCGATAGCACTACACTCCCAGAATAAAAACCATCTAGGAGAACGTAAGTGATACGTGGTTGTTCTCCAGGAAAGCTTAACAGACAGAAAAATAAGGCAACCGTGAACAGAGTTCATTCATGCACGCTTGATGGTTCAGATGTTAAAAACAGACCGCAAGTCATTTGCCATGAACCAAGTCCAAGAGATGAGTCCCTTGCCCAAAAAAACCCAAAAATGCTCATGCAAAGAACATGCCATTCCTTCAGTTGTGACTGTTGTAACCTTTGCCATGATTGAGCTGCAGCTTAAATGAAGATAACTCTGCACCGTTGATCTAAGAGCGTATCATTGTAGAGAGCAATTTAAGTGCAATTACCAGAAGACAGAACAAAGGTGAAGCACTTAAAAATTTCAGTCTGGAGCACGGTACCTAGCTGCTGATGGAAATCAGCACTGGTGGTGTTCAGGAGCGTCACATACATCTAACTAGGTTTGCTGTGCATGCGAAAAGTGTAAGATGACAGAATTATCAGGCAAAAATTAATCATACCGCAAGCCACAGTATAACAAAATGCTCAGAAGCCGTAACTTCTGAAATGCTGCCGTTGTTTTGAGTGGATTTGTAAGATTTCTTGTGGTCAGACAACAGTCAAATTTGTACAACATGAAAAGTCTCCATCTGCAGCCTGCATGCTAGCTCCTGCTTAATGCGAGCAAATAGGACTGCAGCAGCACATTTCCTGAAGCGTACAGCTCTTCAGTCTCTTGATGACACAGCTCAGAATAAAAGGCCTTCCGACCTAAAATCCCCACATCTATTTGCCTGAGTATGAATTACAGTTATAAATGGGAGCTATCTAATGAGATCCAATAGTCCTAGCCAAAGTTTTGCCAACCTCCTGCCTCAGATAAAAGCACTAAAAATGCTTTAGTCTTTAGCCCAAGAATTCTAGATGACTTTTAAGATGGGAACGGTACCTCCCAAAATCTTGCGGATGTCTGGTTTCGAAGTTAACTCTGCAGCCAGCTCTCCTTTAGCGGTGAGGATGTGTTTATCTGCACCAGCGTCCAACAGGCAAGAGACCACTTGAGCATGGTTCCGCTTACAGGCCCAGTGCAAACAGGTCCTGCGGGGAAGGAAGCAGAGGGGTTCTGCTGTCAGCCTCAGATCTATCACCCCGGCTCCCTCTCACGTGCCCGTCCTAATTCGCCTGAGCTGGATGCGAGTGACAACAACCGGGAACGAAGTTTCCTTCATTGCATCACTTTTTTGAAGTTATGAATCTATTTTAAGTTCTGCAGGGGACGACCCTCCTGTACCTTGCTACAGCGTAAACTGCGATTCTCCACTGCTGTCGGGAAGGGCCGTGTCGGTGGACACAAGCAACTTCAGAAGAGGTCTCGAGCAGACAAAACAGGGAGTGACAGGTGGAAGGAGGATGGGAAGGAGGATGGCCTCCTTTTATTATGATCCTCTTTAGCAGTAAATCTCAAAGCCTCCCGAGATTAGCATTTCCTTTTTTGTAAATAGGAAAACTAAGAGGGGCTGCGTCCTCAGAGCAGCTCTGCCCTCTGCCTGAGGAGGGGTGCCCAGCCTCATGGCGGGGAGCCCCGACTCCCAGACG